GGAAGGGCGCTGCAGCCACCAAGGCCCGGCCGCCGGGCAGCCGCTTCTCACATGGGGGCCGGCCGTGGGGCTCCCCTCCCCAGGCCTCAGCTCTCCCTGGGCAGGGGGGCCACAGGGAGCCCCTGACTCTGCTCCTCTGTGGTGCTGGGAGGTCAGAGCCTGGGGCGTGAAGAACGAGGCTGAACCAGCTCCAGCCTGGCCCCCCACCTCACAGCGCTCACGCAGACGTAGCAGGGCCGTGGCTGGACCAAGCCCCACAGGGCGAGCTTTCCCCACTCCAGGCTGTGTGGCCACATCCAATACCAGCTGCCTTGGAGCGTCCCCAGCCTGGGACCCACCAGCTGTGTGCTGACCGCTGGCCTGAGGGGCCCACGCCATCTCCCACCTCCCAGGGTTCCTCGACTGGACCTGGATATGGAGGGAGGGCTCAGCCGAGACTGATGAGGAAAATCATCCTGTACCACCCTGTCCCCAGGTCAGGGTGCTCACAGGTGGGAGAAGGGCTGCGAAACAAGAGTTCAGGGCCCCTCCCCCCGTCCTCTCTCACGTTCTCCAGAGTCAGCCCACGAGCAGGACCCACCGTGTCCCGCTCACCTTCCCTCCGCATTGTCCTCAGCCCACACTCCTCACAAGCCTGGCTGTCGGCCAGCCCCACGCCCTCTCCCCCGACAGCTTGTGGCTGCTCACCCCCTGGGCCTCCCCTCCAGCAATTCTCTACTTGGAAGGCCCTCCTCCTCCCTCCTCCGCCAAGCTCACTCCTGGTCCCCTTTGGGTCTCAGCTGCGATGCCCCTTCTGCAGGAGCCTTCTCTGGGCCCCAGTCTCCCTCGGCTTCCCTATCCCAGCTCAGACCGTGCGACACCCCCACCCGCCCCACCCCAGCTAGGGTTCTACAAGCGTCCCCGGGCTGTGGGCCCGCCTGCTCCCTGTGGACATCCTCGGGAAGACCTGCTAGTGGCAATCATACCCCTTACAGGAGAGGCCCGAGACTAAGGACTCGCTTCAGAGCCAGGGCACACAGCCCTGGGGCCCCAGCCACTGTCCCCTCTGTGGCTGCTGCTTTCCAGGCCGATATGGTAACTGCCCTGGGCTCCACCAGGCTCCCCACCAGCCCACTCCGGGAGCCCTGGGCCTGAGCGGGAACCTTCGGGGAGGGAGGAGCGGAAACATCCTCCTCCGGCCTCACAGGGAATCTGACAGCGAGCGGGGTGGGGAGGCAAGCAGGCCCGGCGTCCCCACCCCCTTCCCAGCACAGCCTCCTCGGCCCTGTGGGAGGGCAGGGGCCCAGGGAGGGCAGGGGGGCACTGTGCGCCCACAGGTGTGCGACAGCTCGCTCCCAGTGAGGGTCAGGAAGCCTTTCCCCAGGAGAGACTCCGGCCCTGGCCCTCCCTTGTCCTCTCCTGGAGGTCAGCTGAGACGTGACCAGAGGAGGGTGAGCCAGAGTCAGGGCTGGGCGGAGCGCGTGGTCGCCGCAGCCAGACCCAGGGCCGCTCCAGCCCTTCTCCAGTGCAGCAGCAGAAGGGCTCTCGGGTCTCCTCAGCTGCTCAGAAACCCCACCGTGAATCCCGGTGCCACAGCGGGCCCCGACACCAGGCGCCAGGGTGAAGGCCAAGCGCTAGAGGCACGGGGGCAAGGGGGCCAGGCCCGGGACGGCGAGGGAGAGGGCAGAGTGGCAGCACAAAGGAAAGGCCGGCTAGCGCCCCGGACGCAGGGCACGAGTGACCACCGGGCCAGGCCAGGCCCGCCTCCCCCAGCCTCACGTGCCGCCCCCCTCCATCACCTGTGCCCCTGGCCTGAAGACGGAGGGCAGCACACAGCCCACACAGCCTCTTACCCTGAGAGCACGCCCAGCACCAGGTTGAGCATGAAGAAGGAGCCGATGATGATGAGGGGGATGAAGTAAAGCCAGTTCCAGGTGTTGCCGGCTGCGTCGTTGGTCTGGAAGCAAGAGCAGGTGAGGACAGGTGGGCCAGGCCCAGCCCCGGCCGCGAGTGCCCAGCCCCTTCTCAGACACCTGGCAGTGGCCAGTCGGGGGAGTCATGGGGGAGTCCAGGCAGGGCAGCGGGGGTGGTACAGGCAGGACCCTCCCAGACCTGCCTGCCCCGGCCCGCACGGCTCTCTCTGGGACTGTGGCTCCCCAAGGGACATGGAGCTGAGCACCCCCGGCTGCTGCCCAGCCACGTGGAAACACAAGGCAGAGTCCTAGGGAGCCCAGGGTGCCCTGGGGGCTGCGTGCCTGGCCCCCGTGGGACACCTGCCCCACTTCCCAGGCTGCTGGACTTGCCAGGCGGCTCCAATGACGTCCCTCCTGTGTGAAGCCCACCCACCCTAGCCCAAGCCTGCCTTCGGTCTCCGGCAGCTTCCGCAGCTCAGAGGCAGCGAGTCCCGTGCCACGTTTCCCCCAGAGCAGCAGCAGGCCCACAAGTCCCCCGGGAATGGCTGTCGCCACCTGCCGGGCCTAAGACAGAGCCCAGCACCACAGGGTGCTCCGGAGGCCCGAGCGCAAAGGGGCCGTCTCCTCCAGACCTTTAGACTTTGAGAGCACAGCCCACAAAAGGGTGAGTCCCTCTGAGCCCAATTCACTTCCATTGTTTTGTTCTTAGGAGTCCCCGTGGACCTGGCTGAGAGGGGCGGAGAGCCTCTCCCCCGGCACAAGTCTAGTTCTGGAAGTGGGCCGAGACGGTGGGCACCGTGGGAGCGACCACCTGGCCCTTCCCTCCTCCTTCCAGAGGCAGCTCACAAGCTGAGGCCGGGGCCCTGCTCAGGACAGAGGCAGGTGGAGAGTCGGGCACTGCCTGAGGCTGGGGCTGATCTCCAGGCACTGCTGTGGGGATTCCTGCCCTCCAGCGTCTGCTGGGCCGGGCAGGGTTTGCAGACTCTGTCCCCGGAGGTCCTGGGTCCCCTGAACTGCTTGCCGCTTGTGGCTTCCGATTCCTGGACATTGGTTCCAGGCCGGCCGCCAAGGCCCCTGGGCCTTGACCCAGCGCAGACATTCAGACTCCTCACTCTAAGTGCTGTCCATGTTCCCTGACCCCACCTCTGCCAGACCCACATGCAACTCTGACGCTGACCTATGGGCTATGCTGACCACCCTCCAAAGCCTCCTCTGTCCGGGAAAAGGAGAGGTGCTGCTGCTGCCGTCTCAGCAACCCTCACCTACTTGAGGGTTCGCTGCTGCAACTCCGCCTCTAATGCAGCGCCCCCGTCAGTAGCCAAACCACTCTGTCACCTTTAAAAACAAACAAAGCGAAACAAACAAGGACTTGCACTTCTGGGAAGACGGAGCAGACAGACCGTTCCCTGCTTCTCCCACTGAGCACAATCAATACCCTGGACGTCACGTCTAGAGCAAATAAATGCATGTTTCACAGAAGACTCCGAAAGGTGGAGAAGGGAGAGCAAACCAGCTGGGACCTCTGGACCCATCGTAGTTCCCTGGGTTTTCGTTTTGTCTTTGCTCATACTTCACAGACCTGGGGCTGGAAAAGCCTGCAACCCAAAATGCCAGCAGACACACAAAAATGCACCAGCAAAGGGCAGTTCTCCCCCTCTAACCAAGGGCCAGGAAGGGGCGGCCGAGCAAGACAGACAATAACTGCACCACTCCAGCCAAACGCGGCAGAAAACTCTGTGGTACCACCTCCACCCCTGCCAGCAAAGACCCAGGAAGGAGCCCAGAAGCCCACCCTCCCAAGACAGCAACAAGGCAACCAACCTCCCACAGCCCCACTCCGCGGCGCGGGCAGAGGACAAGAGGGAGGCGGGGCGTCCCCCCCGACAGGTGCTTAGCGAGGCCACCATCCGGCCCCACCTCTGTGGCGTCAGTGGGGGCCACGAGGGCAGCCTGCACTTCCACCCCACGTGACAGGAATGAGCCGCACCAGCCCCTCCCCTCTGAGGGGCCTGGGGAAATCAGACTTTCACCACCACCCAGCAAGCATGGGGCCACACAGCCCACCCCACACAGTGTGCAGAGACCATGTGGGCAGCAGGAACAAGGCCACGCTCCTAACCCTCCCAGCCACGGGAGTATCCTAGAGGCACAGCGGGAGCCAGAACTACCACCCCACGCAGCAGTAAGGAAAAGCCCCCACAGTGTGTCAACAGAGGCCTGATGGGGAAGCAGGACTTCTACGCCCCCCTGCAGTAGCAAGGCAGCAACCCCCGCCCCCCAGCAGAATGCTCAGAGCAAGCCAGCTGAAGAGGGCGTTTCAATGGCACCCAGGTCCCATGACACAATACCAGGAATGTCCAGTGTTCAGGTGACACATTCGTTACGTGTGCGTTCAGGGAGAACACAGACTGAATTCACAAAGACAGTCGGATGGATGCTGTGATGGTTAATCTTATGTCAACCGGACTGGGACACAGGGTGCCCAGATACTTAGTCAAACATTACTCTGGGTGTTTCTGCAAGTGTGATTTTGGATGAAATTAACATTTTGACTGATAAAGTGAAACACTGCCCTCCATAATGCAATGGGCCCTGCCCAATCAGTCATGAAACAGGGGACATCACTACAGGCCCAGCGAACATCAAAAGGATAACGAGGGGATATTACTAAAAACTCTCTATACATTTGACAATTGGATCAATTTCTCCAAAGACACAAACTACCACGACTCGCCCAATATGAAACAGGTAAACAGTCCAATACTTAGTAAGAAAAGTGAAATTGTGATTTTTAAAACCTCCCTCCAAAAAAGCTTAGACATTGATCAGTGAAATAGAATTGATAATGTAGAAATAAACCCTGGTTGCACAACCCTGTGAACATACAAAAACCATTGAACCATTCACCACTTTAATGTAGTAAATTTCATGTTATGTGAATTATATTCCAATAAAAGTGTTATTTGGGGAAAAAAATCCACAAAAGTAATCTCTAGACCTAGATTGTAGAATTCTACCAAACATTTAAAAAAAATTAACACTGTTTATACACAATCTTTTCTAGAAAAATAGGAAGAACTACTTCCCAATTCATTTTATAAAGCTTGTATTAACCTGATAACAAAACCAAAGACAGCACAAAAAAAAAGAGAGAGAGAGAGAATTATGCTCAAAAGCCCTCATGAATATAGACACAGGAATCTCTGATAAAATATTAGAAAGCAGAATTAAGCAATATATAAAAGAATTGTATACCATGATGATGTGCGGTTTATTCCAGAAAGGCAAGGCTAGTTCAACATTCAAGCCAGTCAGTGTAACCCACCATATTAACAGGTTAAAGGACAAAAAAACTCATATCAATGCAGAAAAATTATTCTACAAAATCCAATACCTATAAAAAGTCTCAGGAAAGTAGGTATAGGGGAACTGATTCAACATGATAAGCAGCATCTACAAAAAACTGACAGCTAACATTACACTCTAATAGTGAAAACTGAATGTGTTTCTCCTACGATTGGGAGCATGGAAAGTACGTCTGCTCTCACCACTCTTAATTAACTAACATGATGCTGGAAGTTTCAGCCAGTGAAATAAGGCAAAAACCAGGAAGCAAAAGGCATATAGATCAAAGACAAAGGGATTTCTGTTTGCAGATGACATGCTTGTCTACACAGGAAATCCCAAGGAATCTCCAAAATGTCTCCTATAATGAATAAGTGAGTTGAGCAAGGTTATAGGATATAAGATCAACACACAAAAGTCAGTTGCATTTCTACACATTAGCAAATACAGACACCAAAATTAAAAATACAATACCATTTACAATCTAACAAAACATATGCAGGGCTCGTATGCTGGAAACTGTAAAGTGCTGATTAAAGAAATCAAAGACAATCTACATAAACGGAGAGATACACCATGTTCATGGATTGGTAGACCCAACACCATAAAGATGCCAATTCTCCCAAACTGAATGAAATGGGAGGAATCGGCCGACCTCACTTATGACACAGCTACATTAATGAGGGTTGTGTGGTAGTGGCAGGGGGACAGACACACAGGTCACCGGAACAGACAGAGACCCACACAAAGATGCCCAACTGGTTTTTGGCACAGGTGCAAAGCAATTCAACAGGGGAGCTACAGCCCTTTCGGCAAGTGCTGCTGGAGCAACTGGACGTCCAAAGGCCAAAGAAAGAGTGAAAGACGGAGGGAGAGAAAAAGGGAGGGAGAGAGAGAGAGAACCCTGACCTAAACGTCACACTTCACACAAAAATTAACTCAAGATGGGTAACAGACTTACACGTAAAATAATAACGCTTTCGGAGAAAAAAACAGGAGATAATCTTCAAGATGTAGGATTAGGCAAAGAGTTCTTAGATTTGACACCAGAAGCCCAGCCCACAGAAGGAAAAATTGATAAACTGGACTCAATCAAATTTAAAAGTGCTTGTTCTGTGAAAGAGTAGGTGAAGACCATGAAAAGGCCGCTGATGAGGAGGAAGTACTTGCAAACCACATACCTGACAAAGAACTAGTGTCTAGAACGCATACAGATTCTACGTCCAAGAACAGTCCGGAGCTGAGGGAAAGATACGAAGCTCACTGAAGAAGATACACAAACGGCAAGTAAGTGTGAAAGGGTGCCTAACCGCATAGCCACTGGGAGTGCAAGCTCAAACCACAGCGATGTATCTCTGCAGACACCCGGAATGGCTCAAGTGAGAAACACCAAAACCTTCTTCGCAAGGGCGAAGAAGAGCTAGCGTGTTCACCACTGCTGGTGGGGCTGTACGAGAACACAGGCCTCTGGGAAGGCTCTGGCTTCTTTAAAACCTACGCATGCAACTACTGTACAACCGAGAAGCTGTACCTTCGCGCATTTAACCCAGAGGAATGAAGACTTACATCCGCACAAACGTGCAGAGCAACTCTATTCATAATCTCCCAAGCCGGAGACAACCCAGATGTCCTTTACCAGGTGAATGCTAAACCCTGCATCCACCTGCACCTGGAAGACCGCTCGGCCATAAAAGGAACAAACCACTGACACACACAGCAAGCTGCATGAATCTCCAGAGAATCATGCCCGCTCTCCGCTCTCCCTTCTCAGCAACAGGCACCACCTGCCCCAGTGGCTCGAGTCCTGCTGTCTCAGATTCCTCTTTCTTTGATATTAAACATCACATCCAACCAGGGAGCAAACCATGTCGGCACGAATGTCAAAATAGAGGCTTTGCACCTATGTACCTGAGCACCCCTTCCTCACACCTTTGTGAAACCTGCACAGTGAACATGTGCAAAGTCACATGGATACGATCATAAGCCAGCAACACTTACCTCCTACTGTCCCTCTGAACGTAGTCACACCCTGGGAAGAAGGTTCGACAAGTCCCGTGACTTTTCTAATAACTCTGGGTAACGCAAAGCTCTGCAGTCACGTCAAGTAGAAAACACATTCACAATTCGTAATTTAGTGTCTGGTCCCAGCTGGCAATAAATCTGCCGGACGTGCTTCCCACTGAGAACAGCCACTCTCTGTGGCTGCCGGGCACAGCTGGCCGCTCTCAACGGGAGAGGAAGGCGTGGCCCCCTTTGCCCCTCCACGCATTGTTCCTCCCTCCGCAGCCTGCTGTGGGCGGCTGACCTCCCCACACTCAAAGCAGCTGGGGGGCAGCGGGGAGGGGGGTACAGCGAGCTCTTCCCTGCACGGCGCCGCTCGCTGTCCAGAGATAATCCCATGTCTCCAGGCCTGGCAGGAATTTACTGCTGACCCGTCTCCCACGAGGCTCCTCTGTGGGTTCCTGCAGGACCCATCTGACTTCACGACCAGCCACCGCTCCTCCAGCTGGAGGACCTGGCACCCCCTCCATCAGTGTTCCAGCAGTCAGCCTCTGTTGAGAGGCCCCCCACTCCTCCCAACTCTCCCCGCTACAGTGGGTCCACAGGAGGTGTTGAGTGTGCCCTCTCTCCCTCTGCCCACCGTAGCTCCTGCCCCCAAAGTCCCAGGCACAGCCGCGGGGGCCTCACCCAAGAAGCGTACGTCTGGGGGAACTATGAACGTCCCTCGCACTGGGTTGGAGGGGAGGGCAGGCTCTCCCTCCAAAGAACCTCCTTCCCAAATCCTCTCGGATAGTTCTGGGCCCCGGCTCTGGGTCCTGTCCCCAGCTCACACCCAGCACTGCACCCCGAAGCCCGGCCCCTCAGCGTCTGTCTGGCTTCCAGACCCCCCAGGCCTTGCCTTCCCAGTGACCCCGACCTGTCACCCTCTGCCCTCAGCCTCCCTCACCGTCTTCACGGCAGGTGCTGTCATCGGGCCTTACTTATCCAAGGCCTCCTGCCACCACCAGGCACACAGTGTCTCAAAGAGCCCGGCACCCAGGGGCCCGTAGAAATACATGCTGGGCAAAGGCTCTGGGCCCGCCCTGACCAGTGCCCCTTGCCCGGGGCCTGGTTCCTGCCCACCCCGCGCCTGGGAGGCACAGACCGCACTGCCCGAGGCCCGCTGGGCACGGAGGGCTGTAGACACCTGCTCATGCAGCCCTTGTTTCGGCAGGGCTGGCAGGGATGTGGCCAGCTCAGAGCTATTTTTAGGGTTCGTCTTTGTGGAAATTGTTCCTGGATCGGCTGTCAGGGAGGAACAGCCAAGCTCTTCATCACCGCCTTTGTCCCTGTTCCTCTGTACCTCGATCAAACGGCGCCTGTCATCAGACACGACTCCCACTCCAAGGAGGGACCTGGCTCGGGGAACCTTGGCCAGTTTTCCTTAACTCCTCATCTGCCACCTGCCTGCTCAGCCAGCACTTCCCCAGACCTGCTGGACGCCTGGCCCTGGGATCCGCCGGGTCTCCGTGAACCCATGGAGGAGGCACAGAGCAGAGGGTCCCAGTCTGTCCCTTTCCTCCTGTTCAGCCTTCGTGCCAGAAGCACAAGGCTGCTGGAGGCAGGTTGGGGGGGTGAGGCTCCAGGGGCTGGTGGCCCAAGCCCCGCCCTCAGTGCACAAGGGACAGGTTCAGAGGGAAGTACCTCGTGCCCTAGCCCCCTCCCCGCGCTGTCCCCGAGCAGAACACACCTCCGGCTCCACAGAACACAGCCACCCACCAGTCGCACCTTCCAGCCAGACCTCCCGAGTCCCTGGCTCCTCTGCACTTCTGTCTCCACCTCCCACTAATCTAACTGTCCTCGTGCCCTGGCAGCTCACAGGGCTTGGGGTGGAGGGGAGAAGGGAGCTCTGCAGGGTGAGGGGTCGTCACAGGAAAAAGAGACAGAGGTCTGCCCAGGAGTCGATGGCAGAGTCCACAAGAAGAGCCTCGGGTGGAGGGGAGGTAAGAGTGAGCTGTGTCACCAGGAAACCCCGGGGGCCCTGCGCCGCTGGGACGGCTGGCATCCTAGGAAGGAGAAGCTGGGAGGGAACAGTACCAGGTCAACCCAGTGGGAAGGAAACAAACACACAGCACGCCGGTTCCCGCCCTGAGAACCCCAGCGTCTTCGGGGCAGTTTCCTCAGCCTCGGCCCTGCTCCTCACGTGCTCCGCTGGCAGACGCTTGCCGGCCTTAGGACCTTCTCCGCGCCTCGGTCTCATCGCCTGCACACTGGGGTCTACATGCAGAGACTGAGCCCCTCGTGCAGGGCTGGCTCGGAGCACGGCATCCTCACCAGCAGAAGTAGGAGCTTCTCCCTGGAATTTTCTGTTCTCATTGCCACCACCAGGCCCCCAGCTCCACTTTCTAAGAGAAGCTGTCCTGGAGACCACAGGGCCTAGCTGACCGGCAACAGTGGGCCCCTTGGAGGAGTCATCTGAAGGCAGTCTGTATTCCGTCCTAGGGTGGAGGAGGGAGCCTGGGGCTGGGCAGAAGCACCGCCCCAAGGGGGACCCCAGGGGCTCGAGGGCCAGGACGCGACTCACGTTGTAGAGGATGTCGGTCCAGCCCTCCATGGTGATGCACTGGAACACCGTCAAGACGGCAAACAGGATGTTGTCAAAGTTGGTGATGCCAAAGTTGGGCCCCGGCCAGTACTCCCGGCACTCAGTGTCGCCCTCACACAGCCGGGCTGGGGCCTCCTTGCCACAGGGGAAGTCGCCCACTGGCTCTGCATCTGGAGGGGAGAACGGAGCACAGGCTCTGAGCTCAGAAGCACCCAGTTCTCCACCCCTCCTGGGGCTCATCTCGGGGCAGGAATTAGGCACCAGGGGAGACCCTCCCTCCTCTTCCTGCCCTCCGTCCGGCGCCTGCACCAGCTCCTTCTTGCCTGCAGTCTGCCTCCACCGCCCCTCAGACTGAGCCTCTCAGGAACGACTGGTCAACCTCTCCTTCCACACCAGAACCTGCCCACCATTCTTTCAACATGCTCAGGACTCGTCCACCTTAAAGTAAACAGCAAGCTCCTAATCTCCAATTCGTCTTGCTGTTCCCACCCTGACTCTTCCCCTCGAGGCCAAACCTCCACCAAGAGTCTCCTGACTTGCAAACCTGCCCGTCACTTTGGAACCAGAACCAAGCTGGACTCAGCATTGTGGTCCTGGCGCTCAGCAGGCAGGTCGACCAGAGCCCACCGACACAGGCCCAGAGCATGGCTGGGCCTCAGGGCCCTGCCTCACCGCACTGGCCCCGACAAAGCGCACGCGCTCCTCTGGCCCGCGGTCTAGCCGGCAGCCAGGGGCCACAGAGAGACACTGAAGAGCCAGCAGACAACCAGAGCTAACCCTGGAACAGGGGGGCGGGTGGCACACGCTCACCCCCTCGCTGCCAGAGTCCTAACAGAAAGGTAGGAAAGATATTTTAGAAAATGTGCCACGACACATGGAAATTCCTCCTATCGGTGTAGGAGGAATTCTGAGGAGTTGCCGGGATGGAAAACAAATATCCCAGGATTCAAGGCAAAACCGGTCACACAAGTTTATTCCTCTCTCCAAATACCTTAATAGACGCTGAGGAAGAAGACTAGGACATCACTGCTTGTCTGTCTGGAGACGGCTGTGTCCTCTGTGAGTGGCAAGTTTTATTTCCCCTTCTCATATTCTTGACAGGGTTTCTCTTCTTTTTCCTGCCTCGTGGCACCGGCCGCGACCACCGATGCCACATGGACCAGACGTGGCCATGTGTGCCTTTGTTTCGCTCTTAACTTTAGAGGGAAAGCTCTCAAGACTTACAACAAAGTATGATGTTTGCAGGAAATTTTAGGGCATTTAAGGACATTCCCCTCTATTTCCTGTTTGGTAAGAGGTTTTCAAAATCATGAATGACTTAAATTTTAATAAAAGCTTTTTCTGCATCAGTTAAGATGATCGTATACAGGTTTTCTCCTCTAATGTGTCTGTAGCTCAAGCCACGAATGTTAGTGTCAGGCTTAACTCTTCTCTTACGCACCACACACAACAGCCCAGAAACCCCTGCTGGCCCAGCAGACCCCGCTGCAAAAGCCTACCCAGAACTTGACCTATTCCAACCGCCAAACAGCCTGGCCCCCGCCACCATCCCTCCTGGACCGAGATCAGCCCTGTTAGCGTCCGCCTCCCCAGGGCAGCCAGAAAAGCCAGACGATGCCACTCCTCGCTCAAGCCCTCCGTGTCCCCCCACCTCTCTCAGAGCCCCAGCACGATCTCGGCCCCACGTGACTGCCCTCCGCACCACTGTTCCTTGTGACTGGCGCTTGCTGGCAGGTGGCACACAGACACCATTGTCCAACTGTCGCCTTGCCAGCGGCCCCCGGCTACTCTGTGTGGAGCAGGCCCTGAGCTATTCTGCTTAAATACTCTTCTTGTTTCCTTCCTAGAAGCTACTACAGTCTGCACTTGTTTTGTGTCCACATCTGTCAGGTCACTCGTCTGGCACCGAGAGGGCCCTCGTGCTGGAGCCGTGCGTGTGTCCTGGGTGAGTGAGGGTGCTGCTGGCCTCACCTGTGCTGTTGGGGAAGCAGGCCTTGTGGAACTTGCCCATGTAGAACTCGAGGCCAATGATGGCGAACATGAGGATGGCGAAGAAGAGGAGCAGCCCGATCTGCAGGAGCGGGACCATGGCCTTCATGATGGACTTGAGCACCACCTGCAGACCTGGGGCCGAAGGCAAAGCAGGGCCGTCAGAGGGCAGAGTGGGCAGCGGGGCTGTGGGGGCAGGGGACGAGGGGAGATGGCAAGAGCCTGGGTGGGCACGGCCGAGGGTCTTGGGCACAGTGCTGAGAGGTGAGCGCTCGCAAGGACCCAGGGCACGGCTGGAGGCCCTCAGCGTAGGGACCAAGCAGGGAGTGGCCAGGAAGCATGAAGGCCTGGGGGAAGGGCAGAACAGTGAGTGTTTGCATGAGAGTCCTTGAGGCAGGGGACAGAGGGTCTTGGGGGAGGTGGACAGAGTAGCGTCCCATTGTAGGGGACAAGCAATGTGGGGCGGGGGGTGTCAGTACGAAGCTCCAGTGGGGAGTGTGGGCTGGTGAGCCCTGCAAGTCCATGGAGGGCTCAGGGTGGAGCAAGAGCAGAGTCTTGAGAGAAGAGATGAGGGAATCCTGGGAGCTAGGGGCAAAGGGGCCTGGGAGGGGAGAGCAGGGGGTCCCGGGAGGGGAGAGCGGGGGTCCCGGGAGGGGAGAGCGGGGGTCCCGGGAGGGGAGAGCTGGGGGTCCCGGGATGGGAGAGCAGGAGTCCCGGGAGTGGAGAGGGGGGGTCCCAGGAGGGGAGAGTGGGGGTTCCGGGAGGGGAGAGCGGGGGTCCCGGGAGGGGAGACCAGGGGTCCCAGGAGGGAAGAGCAGGGTCCTGGGAGGGAGAGCAG